GTCCCAGAATTTCAGGAATTTCAATTTAGGACTTTTTAGGTTTGGGATCGGGATTTTTTTGGTTTCATTCAGGAATTTTCAGAAATTTTTTCCAACCCTAATTACATGTTCATGAAGGATGGCCGTGTTTAGAAATTTTTAGAAATCTTGGGGCAGAGAAATATCTTGAATATGGAAACGAAGATCCAGCCTAGATCAAAAGCTAGGAAGGACAAGACTCTCGACCAAATATGAGAGAGAGGCTTGGTTTATTAGCCGAGTTCATGGTTTGAGGGGAAAAACCCTGGAACCAGGGAAGTTACCTGCGTTCTTGACGAAGCATATGGTTATGGAGAGAAGTTACTAGAGAGAAAAGAAAGGTTTTCTGTGTTATTTGGTTGCTAGTCTTATGTTTGTTGCATTTGATAACTCGATACAGCTTCAGCTCAGCATCGACGTTCAAGCTGTTAAGCTCACTTGAGCTCGACTCTGTATAAAAAGCAAGTCAATTGAAGAACCAAAGTCAAGTCTAACATGAGCTTGAAAGTGAACCAAACTTAAACAATGTCATATTTTTCGGTTTGACTGCCTCGTTTACGGTCGTACGACGAACTTTTTTTTGTAGGTTATAGGTATTTCGTTCTTCCTCAAAGAAAACCAAGCCTTGGGCCTAAGAGTCAATAGGGGCCCAATAGGAGAGCCGAGTAAATGAAAATAAAAATAAAAAATAAAATAAAATAAATTATATTTTAAATGGCAAACCGACTATATGGCCTTGTATAAAAGCAAAACTAAGGTAATTCCTGGAGATATTATATACCGTCGTTTGATTGTCAGCTAAGTTATATCAACATATATACATGGCGAAGAAATCAGCTCCGGAAGAAAATGGAAGCATGAAGAGAAAGAAGAATATCGTTAAGGAGGAGGAGGAGTACCCGATCGGAAACGGAAGAGGAAGAGGAAGCGGAAGCGGTTATTTCTCGGAGCTTGAAAAAGACGCGGCGGAGCAACTTATACAACTCAGCGGATCATTGTCAACGTCAGACAACAACGTTACCGGCGGCAAAGAAGAAAGCGATGTCAAAAGTGGTCTAGCTGCTGCTCGTGGCGGTGACGGTGACGGTGACCGTGATCGTGATGGTCAGGTATGTTCCTCGAAATATAGAACAATATTTGGAGATGATGAGGTCGAACAAGAAGAAGAAGAAGATGATGGTGAATTAGATATAAGTTTGGGGTCAAGGAGGAAGATGAAGAGATGTCGATCGATGGCGGAGCTGTACAAGTTGACCAAGCCTCTTAATCTTGTCAATGTTGTAAATAATCGAAAAAGGAGACGTGTGGCATATACCTAAATGATATATAGTGTATCATGCTACGTGTTTAATTTTATGTAATTAAATTGTAATTAAGGGTATGTTAATTGTAATGTTATGCGAATTTCAATTAATTTTCTGTGGAATTTGGGATCTAGCCATGTCAATTTAACATGAGGGAAATGCTCTAAATGCGATCGAGCGAGATATATTTTCAAATTTAAGAATATCTTTGTTGGGGTAGATTGTTCCATATATAGTACGTTTGATCGCCTTGATCAAGGCCACTGTGTATCATAAACATTGTTCATCTGTAGAGAAATAAAAAGTAAATGCAGCAGATGCAGACATGTTTATTTGGGTAAACTGATTGAGGTTGATCGGTTTTTGTTCCAAAACTATTTATCTTTTTAAAAAACTCAGACAAAACGAGCAATATTCATATTAATTAAATTCATCTGAACTACGATGAGAGGAATTCTAACTTGGCTAAGCTTAGGTCTACATCCAAATCGAAAGTACTGTTTATCGTTCATAACATCATTCACCCCCACCAAAAAGAACCAGCAGAATGATCCAAACCAGGAGTACTCTGAATTAATCCTCCTGACTAGCCAAGATTTAGGTTAATTGTACTTCAGCTGTACTATATTATGTGTCATATGAATCTCCTATCCAAATTATGTTCACACGCGTATCATTTCCTTCCCTGACATATATATGATGCGTTTACTAGCACAAGAAATGAAAGAGTAAGTGGATTTCATGCGCACTGATGAAATTAGGTATGCAAACCAGGTTTCATATACCCAAGGAGCGGTTGTTTATCTCATATATGTACAACTATGTATCAATATTATTATTCGCGTATCATTGTTCCCATATATATATACCTGGTGAAGTACCTAAACATGGCAGAAGTAAATAATACTGAGAAATTGCTTAAGACGACGAGACCCCCCAAGAGTAAATTACAAGCACACGGAAAATGGTGGAGGGCCAAGTCAAACCCGGTTATTTCTTAGAAAACAAGCTGCTAGCTACCTCCTAACTGTTAAACGAATGGAGTTGGTGGAAACTGGTTATGTTATACCTTATAACCAACATATTAATGAAAGAAATGAAATCACCAAACTGCATGCATGCATGTGCTGGGTCATCACTCATGATCAGAAGGCAAATCAAGATTTTTTGTATATTGTCAATTTCTGTAGTTGTATTGAATCTTTAATTACATGATTTTAAATTTTTCATGTCAATGTGTTTATACCTGATTTTGCATTATTGGGACACATGTTTGGAGCTGTTAGTTCAAAAGAAGAAATGATTTGTAATTAATTTTCTAGATATTATTATGGTTTTAATAATCATAGTATTATCTGAAGTGTTATTGGAAATTATCTGAAAGTTCTAGACGGAGTATGATTGTTTAAGGATCAGGATTGGTCTTTGGATGAGATTTGAATTAATTTTTTTAAGGATCATGATTGGTTTTTGGATGAGATATGAATCAGCCGCGTAATAAGTCTAGGGTCAGAATCCTAGTTCGAGTCGAAGAAGGTGAGGTTCAGCGATGATAGAGTTCAGGTGTGAGCATGATTTGTGAGGAAATCAGCTAAAGCGTAGTATTTCTCCAGTGAATCAAGATAGTAAATTTGTCATTTCGCTTCCTCTACCCAACTGTGAGATTGTTAAATCAGCTAAAGCATCATCATAAAGGATAACTAAATACGCCAAAGATGATATGTTGAGTGTAACATCAATCAAAACTAAAATGTACGGTTTATTGTATTTCGACTTGTTACGCTAATCTACAGATACAACCTAGCTACAGGATACAGCTAGAAAATCCGTCTTCCTCGGTACATCAACTGCTTCTTGTGCTTACGTTTGTCTCGTTTTTGCTTGTGTTTCAGTTCAGCTTCTAAGGTGTGAAGTTGGTATGGTAGTAAGTTGAATGCTCATCTGTGGGAACTATGATATGGAAGCTGCATGGAGGGACTAGAGCCATTCGTGTTTTCTTAATTTGTACGACTACTATATTTCAAGAAGATAAATGGCAATGTTGAACTGAAAGTTCCGATACTGGTTCCTCATCAGCGTATAGTTTGCACTCATCTAATTTTTCTCCTGCTCAACGGTATCTAGTAACTTGTACTCAAGATGATCAACATTTTTATCATCTTATTGAGGACAATTTACACGTACAAGTACTCCTTGGAGTGATTGCATAGCTGAATTATGGGATTAAAGGGCCGGCAACACCTCATTATACAGTGCTGGGCTTGAGAAAAATTTGCGAGTTTTCTCCGGAAACAGGCAGTTAGAAAAAGACACCTCTAAGCAAGGGCCGGCGTACCTACTGCCTGCTATGGAAATAGGTAGAAATGAGAGGAAGCTTGTTGATTGTTCGAGGAATGCATTGCAACTCATTATTTAACAAAAAATAAACCTATGATCGATCCCAAAATAAGTCCGTATCAAGCATAACCTAGAAGTTTATTTTACTCCGAAACTGTTCTTAATGTAACATTTCAAGAAAACAAAATGTCCAAGATAAGGTATAACAAAATGTATTTCTACCAGAAAAGGTCCCAGAAAATAGTGCGTTAAATAGAAATTTAGAGTGCAAACATGAGAGGAGGAGAGAAAGGATATCAATCAACTTATGGAAAAAGGACTTCATTCTGGTTCACCATGAATATTTTTTGCAGCTATATATTTGTTTTTCTGCAGATATTGCGAAACCCCAGCATAGACCATAGCGATAAATTAATAAATGAACAAGCACTGCAACAGAAACAAAACCAGTTAAAATTGTAGCCATTGCAGCAGTACCTATTGCGGAACAAGAACGCATGAGGCCAAATGGTTCATAAAATTATTAGCAAATTCAGCAGCAGTACCCAAGAACCATTTGACCCAGAAGAACGAAAGAGAAGGGTAGGAGGAAAACTTATTCAACGTCTCATCTTCTGGATTACAACTGATGAAGCTAGATTCTTAACTCTTGATATATAAGAGAAACTTGGAAGGTTTTGGTGATTCTTAACATAAGTCATGTGATGCAAAGGAAATCCAAAATTTCAAGGAAGTTGGTAGGCACATGAGAGCCTTTCAATTTCAATTACTTCTCTTTATTATTCTGAGAAACTAAACTTAGAACTATTGGGAATAGTAATTCAAGTTAAAAAAAAAAAAAAAGTGTAGGGCTCGTCTGGTGCCTAGGATTGTAGAGGTGAATGACTTTTCATTTTGACAGGATTAGAACGGGATTAGACATGAATGAAACTTATCCCTTTTAAGTTATCATCCTAACATTTTGGGAGGATTTGAAGGAATAAGTTTCCTTGGTCGACAATCTATCTTCTACCTTCAAGTTAGACACAATTTGTTTTTCATTTTGACAGGATTAGAACGGGATTAGACATGAATGAAACTTATCCCTTTTAAGTTATCATCCTAACATTTTGGGGGGATTTGAAGGAATAAGTTTCCTTGGTCGACAATCTATCTTCTACCTTCAAGTTAGACACAATTTGTTTTTCATTTCTTCCTTCAACATAGTTCAAATATAGCGAGATATACCATACCAGTCCAGTCCTAGACACCAACGGTTACCATGGTCTTGCCATTAATAGAAACATATCTTTGCTACTTCATTCAGTATTTCTCAACATCCGACTGTGCCAACAGTCCAAATAAGAAATAAAAGAAGTTCAACGTCACATTATTCACAGGTGATGATTTTTTAGGCAAGCAATATCCAATAAGTTGTATTCTTCACAAAAATTATAATCAAAGAGTGAGCAACCCTAGTACAAGTACATTCTCTGGGAATCCACTCAAAAGAAAATAAAAGAAGAAACTGCTACGGTAACATTGTCTCGTCAATAAGATTGTTTACTGCTTGAGGGCAATGGAACCATCTACTTTGTTGAGTTATAGTCGAGTCATAGAAGGACATTTCGTGTGAGCAAGTTTAGGTTTCTGACGTGTCACAACAGGTGCATTAGCTCGGTGGCATTCATCAAGGAAAGAAAATGACTTGAAAAGATGACCATGACCACTCAGCTATCTCAAGCCTGTGGAACACAACGATGAATAAGTTGGCATCATACGGCAATATTTTGTGGCTTGCTCTCCGGAGGAAATCTGAATCTTGGCTGGAAATGCAAGAGGCCATATGTGTTTTCCTTAGCTTGGATATGGTTTGAGATAAACAGCTGGATGCACCCCACCGTCGAGCAGGCATCCTTTAAACAACGTACGTCACACCCAACTGAGAAGTTCATGGTGCTCGACTTTCTAACTAAACTATACTAAAAGAATAAATTTTGACGATATCCTTTTTCTTGCACAGAGATCTAAGCCATGAAGGACAAACCTGCATAAGTTGACAGAAAACATGACTTACAGCAGAGCTAATGAGTTTGGAACTACTATAACTAAAGTGAAAATATGAAGTCTGACAAACAAGAATTTCACAATATTCAAAGGGAAAGCTGGAAAACGTACATGATTTGAGAATGCTTATCGGTGTTAGCTTTCAAGGGGAAAGCCGGAAAATATACATGCTTTGAGAGTGCTTATCGGTGTTAGCTGTATCATTATTGTTTTTGTTTATAGGAAGATGTATTAGTTAACAATCTAGGAACACAGTTTTTGAAATGAAATATCAAATCAGACATTTCTCGTTTCAGACCATTTTATAAACTGTACGACTATGAATGGGTGCATGCAGATGCAATCAAATCAAGTGTAACTAAAATCTTTCAAACTTATGAGCATAGATAGTCAATAAAGGGAGAAAGATAATGAAGCTGAGACTTACCTCATAGAATGTGCGATATTTTTAATATATGTTTCAGACATTCGATTTGCAACCGCTAAACGTGAACTTCACTACAAATTTTTTGCTGGACTGCATGCTGAGATTCGCTGCTTCACTACCATCTCTCTCAAGCTTTTCACTCGAGTTATCCTTGGTTAGATCAGAGTTGCAATCTTGCTTAGCATCGATCAAATTCTCAATTGCTTCACCCCCCTTCACAAGAGGTACGCTTGAAACACAGCACAATCTTTTAATTCTAAGGAGATCCTCCGGTGTACAAGGCTTGGCTACATCTAAGATATTCCCCATCGACCTCTTCTTATGCTTACCCCTGTGTCGTTTTTTCATATGCCTTGGCTTCCTAGAAGAAGTCAAAGTTTCATTGCACTCAACAACATTAAGGTGTGAACTTGGTATTGTAGTTGAAGGTTGATCAGTTGAAACTATGCTATTGGATGATATGTGGGAACTAAAGTCCGCCTTGTTTTCTTCACGCTCACGACTACTATTTGAAGGAGAGAAATGGCAGTGCTGATTTGAAAGTTTTGATATTGCTTCCTCATTGTCAGAGTATAGTTTACTCCCATCTTCAGTCTCCTCAATGATATCTGGTACTCCGCTTTCAAAGTCAACAGCATTGTTATCATCTTGTTGAGTACAATTCAAACCTACCGCTCCCCTAATCGATTTGATAGCTGAAGTATGGGATTCAAAGGGCGGCAACGCATCACTAATACCATGGTCGAGACAAATTTGCAAGTATTTCTCTGGAAATGGCCAGTTAGAAAATACATCTTTCTGGCGACAATCAAGAACATACTGTCTGCAAAATCAAATTAAAATAGTTACAAACGACGTCTACCTAGTTGACTTTTTTGAGCAAATAACTTTGACATGCAACTCATTTCATTAACATGCATATGTTACTATTACACACAAGGTGAATGAAAATTTGAAACGAACTTCAGCCTCAAAAATTTCACCCAGAAAGGAACAAAGTAATATACAAATGGAAACCAACTTGAAATGAAATACCAATTACAGTGAAAGTTCTGATAAATATACACAGCATAGACGAGAACCGAAATTTGTTCACAAGTGTAACAATATTCAACCCATTCCCCAGGAGCATTATTTTCAGAATCATGCTTCATATATTCCATAAAAAGAAACCCACAAATAAATTATAGATGGGAAGAACAATCACCTTATGGAGAAGGGCGATTCTGGTTGACCGGGGTTATCATTTGGAGCTACTTGTTTCTGCAGAGATTGTGAAACCCCAGTCCCAGCCCGAGCTGGGTTTTTCAGCTGAGATTCAAGCATGAGTGACCAATCAAAATGTTAATATTAGGCACAAACAAAACAAACCCACTTCAAATTTATGGAGCAATATGGGATAATGGAACAAGAATTAGATCCAAAGCAACCCAAGAACCCTTTGAGCCAAAGAAACGATCGAGGATTGAGAAAAATAAAGCGCAAATTAAGCCACAGCTGGTGAGGTGGGGTTGAGGAGAGTACAAGGAGTGTTGTCGATAATTAATTAAATTAATGAGACGAAATAAGAAAAGGGAGAGAAATGTGTAACATTGGGTTGGAAATTACAGAGGAAAAACAACGGTGATTAAGCTCAAAAGGGTTTGGAATTTGGAATGGAAAGGGTGTGTGTGTGGCTCAAGAGAAGGAGATGAACATATGTGGAAAAATGGATGGCACGGAAGAATTTAATAGAGAGAGATGTCTACAGAACAGTTGTGCAAGAACCATTTCTGTTTCTGGGAAATCTGAAGAATGTTACAGATGGAAATTGGAAGAGAAATTTGAATGGACTGAGATTGTTTCCTTGTGAGTCGACTTTGAGAGAGAGAGAGAGAGAGAGAAACGGAGAGAGAGAGGGAGAGAGAGAGAAACGGAGAGAGAGAGAGAGAAGGAGACGAAGTAGAAGAAGAAGGTCGAAGAGGCACTACTTGTAGTTATTTTCCTCTTTTTTTTCCTTATTTGGGGCTTCTTTTTTTTTTCTTTCCTTATCCTGGAAAAATAAAATAAACGAGAAGACAGACCGAGGGTTGGTTGACCATATAGGGGCACCCAGAAATGGGTTCAGCCTAACTTGTCCTAGCCTCCTCAAGTGGAGAAATTCTTCAGTCCGAACGGCGTATGTGGCCACCCGGCACAAGGGCGTGGACCGGAGGGCGGGCGAGACCAAAATATGGGAAGTGAGGTGTTTTATGCGTGCTGTTGGATGACCATGCGGTCCGGTTGTCAGCACGGAAGAATGTCTCCACGGATCCATTGGAGAAAAAGAAATTTAGATTTTGAAGGACATACATGCAAGGGAAAGAGCATGCATCTGCAGATTTCTGCACAATATTGATTGGAAACCACATTTCTGCATAAGATTACAACCAAATAATACTGAATAATGCATGCCATTGACATGCCATCACTTGGATAGGTAGAGAGAAATCGATCTGAGAAATCTATGGTTGTGACTGTTCTGACTTGTGAGAGCAGAGCTTTAAATTTACTTGTATGTTTGCATCAGGAGTTCTTGTTTGTTTTGTTGTTTTAAGTTTGCAGTTATGTCTCAGCTTGTAATATCTGTAGCCTGTTGATCGCATGCTTGCTCAGGCATTCGCATTTGCGTTACGATTTTTTCTTTCTTTTGGTACCTGAATCCTGACCAACCACAAAAATTTCATCCATCCCACATCCATGAATATACAGGCGACAAGCTGCTAGCGCGTTTGATATATATTCTCCTCCATCCGTTCTGCGTATGATGAAGCGCATGCCCATCACGTTTCATCTTCAAACTTGTCATCGATCGTAAGGTTCCATTCGATGTCCACTGGTGGCCCTTGCGTATTGCATAGCAAAATTTGTTGGACAAATGCATGCATTTGCTGATGGATGATCTGTAGCCCCGGATCTCAGTTAAGAGATACATCGGCATGACATATCTGTGCAATATTTGCGTGCGGTGAAGCTGAAATGAGAAGGCTGTCAATAGTATGGGTACCCACCGTACATCGGAAAAAAGTTTAACAGATATGAGACTAATAGAGCTAGGAAGGAACAAGGGATGCCGCGGCAACTTTGGTGTATCCTCCTCAGATGAAACTGACTTCTCTCAACTGCAGAAGGCTAAGATCTCCTCTCTTGAGGCATATATACACCTACATTACATATATGTGGTTGACAAGTGCCCACATTATGTCTTCCCCCAAACCTACTCTAACTTTCAGCTTTCGGATGAACGATTACCAGAAGATGAAACGGGTACTATGTATAGAATCTTGATATTCGAGTCTGTCAACCGTTCCCTACTCTTCATCCCAAGTAGTACAGTAATTTGTAAGAAGGTACAAAAATGAAACTGCATCCGCGGGGAGTGTGTGAAGTGTTGGAATATTTACGTGTGTGACAAAATGTTATAACAAAGGGGTGGTTGTTATGCACTTACACTCGGATCTTTGAGCTTAATTTAGGAGCAGAACCAAAGGAGGCGAGGCTAACGATTGCCCCCTCGATTACTAGTGACGTTGCCAACACCAACATACTGATTCTCTAATGTCTTTCTATAACAAACATTACAATGAACTAATCCACATTTACTGTGATTCTGTGAATGCACGCTACTCCGACTGCTGAACTTTTAATATGAATATTGTACGACAAGTTAAGGAGCTACTGCATGTTTGAGCTGAACGTAAATGATTAATAGGGTTTCTGTATACAAGATTTTTCTTAGGATTGTTATTGATTCTCCGCTTGATACAAGAAGGAAAGCTGATAAACCATATGAGCTGCTCGGGTAAAAGTTAAAAGGACGAAACTGCAAGGAATTAGAACGAAACCATGAAAAGAGCATGTAAATCTCCTTCACCATACGACATTACAATCCAACGCAAAACAATCAGCTTGCAAGGAGTCAAATTCAAGGACACGACGAGTTAAACCAATATCGGAAGTGAAGCTGAAGCTCAGCAGATAATGCTGGAAAAGCTCGCGTAATGGATAACAACGAGTGCATGAAAATCAAAAGGCCTCGCAAAGAGCGGAGACCAAAATGCAGAAGTGCAGAAGGCAAATTGCATATCATTGTTCTCGTCGTTGAGCGAGCCTCCCCCACCCTCCCCACCCCACCCCGGCCCGGCCGCCCTTCTCGTGGCCATGGACGCATATGTGTGAAATCTTGCGTTTGCTTGAAACTACCGTTTTTTTTTTGGCAATTGTACGGATATATAAGAATTGTATCTTTCTTTTCCTCTTAAATCTACTTCTCAATTCATCTTGTACAAGTGAAATTTTACTCGTATCGATAACATCCGCCTGCGTTCTTCCACTCGTCGTTAATCTAAAACTAATTACAGTGAGAACAAGTCGACAACGGAGGTTTTAAGAAATGGAAAGAAAAAAAATTGCAGGAACACAGGAAAAATTCAAGAGTAATGTATTAGCTATTTGATTCAATATGGGAGCAGGATTCTTTGTACAAGTCAAAACGGTTTTGCCATTCTACGAATTGTTTCTTCAATACATTGTATGCAGTCAATTCCTTCTGCTTAAACTTCATGTCAGATGCATCAAACTTCAACTCTACTGGACAAAGATCATCAAACAGTTCCAGTCCGACGTTATCCTCACTACCGCTGGGAGCGGGCTTCTTCTCAGACACTTTAGAAATTACGGTGTCAAATCTGTCGTCCTTGAAGACAGATTTGCCCCGTATATGGTCCATTGGAGATCCCGTACCTGCAACTGGGTGGTATGAAAAGAAAGGTTTCGGTTTTTGAGTGCATCTCCATGTCTCTTCTCCAGCATTAGCAAGGGAGCCTGCTTGTTCATCGACAATCCCAGGGTCCGGTTTAGAAACAGTCATTTCACTGGCGACCTGCATGATCTCATTACAGCCGCGACTAATTTCTGCCTCTACTGAAAATTTACCTGACTGTTCATCTTGCGAATTCAGACACCCATTGCGAAGTTCATGAAGTGTAAGCAATATAGGAAGGGGAAGAACTGGACCGACAAGGGCATCACTGGGTTTAACTTTCTGTGACCACTTACTGCTGCGGCATGAAGGCTTCCTTAAAATAAAAGGAGGCAACTGGGATTGGTCCGGTACGGCAGAGAATTCCAAAGCCGACCTCTTTTCGTCCACAAGCACTTCAAGGATTTCAGGGTAGTTAGAAAAGGCCAGTTGCAGAAGTTCCATTGGCAATTCTGACCACAATCTCTTCAAAACAACTTCATGTATGCTTGTTGGCAAGCTGATGTCATTTAAAACACTTGTGACTGCAGGACATGATCTAAACTGACCAAAGCCACAAGCCCGTAACTTTTTACATAAAAGCTCATGGTATTCTGGGCTAAAAAGTTCCGTCCCTTGAACAATCTTAGAGGGAACTTTCATTTTGGTATCTAAGACTTCATCAAGCTTATCATTTAGATAAGCACAGAGGTAGTCCAGTTTAAGGTACTTAAATCTCCTAGGGAATTTGTATTCCTCATCAGCTAGGGAATCCAGAAAATAATCCTTAAAATACAACGATTCCCCATGCGATTCTTCCACCTTTTTTACAGGATCCCACGATGCACGGTATCTCTGTAATTCTAGCTTCCCCGAGGACATAAGCCTGATCAATGTAAAACCACCGAATTCATCTGGCTCAGAAAGCAGAGAAGACAATTCTTTGTTTACAATGCCAAAACCCAAAACTATTTCTTTCTTCTGTTGCCAATCAACCCATTCAGGAAGAGCGTCTTTTACAAACTCTTCTCTTAATATACAGTTTCCACAATGGCACTCATGGCCCGGCAGTAAAACATCTGAAGGTAGCTCCCATGCATAAAATGACTTCCGAAGTTCTGCTACTTTGGAAGCAACTGATCCTATTGGAGTTGGGAGGGAAGGGCCATAGCAAAAGGTATTAAACTGACAATTCCAAAATGACCCCATCACAATGCAAAAACCCGAGTCAGAAGCCCACTTATACATGTCCTCCCTCGAGTGTGACCTCAATTCTGACAGTCTAAAAACATCAAGATGGCTTGGTTTATCAAGGCCATGAGCCCATTGCAACACCGGCATCAATGGTTTGCGCAAGTCACAAAGAAGTAACAACGTGTCAGAAGCTAAAACAAAGTGAAAATCATCAGAAGCAGTCCTTGAAAGCACAAGGAACTGCTCCTTTTCAACCGGGACATACATATGTAACATTTCAACCTTCATCAAACAAGTCACACTACATTCACGGGACCTCAAATCAACTAAGAAAACTGCATCCGAACGCGCAACGATCAAAACTCTAGGATGCCAACTGAATTCACAACTCAACCACCTATAATTTCTTGAAGTACTCGAAACATCGCCATTATCCCATACTACTTTCAATCTGGTCCCCTTAAACTTAAAATTATGGGTTTTCGGACGAGACTCCAAATCAAACAAAAACAAAGCACCATTTTCTAACAAAACCACACTCTCTTCCTGTAAATGTGGACTCCAAGAGGCATGTACAACACAGCAAGTCTTGAAAACCTTACTGCCCAAGTAACTTAAACTAACTTTATTACCCAAATTCAAACTCGTATCTCCAACCTTTACAGTAAACCACTGGACAGAGTACAAAGTAGAAGCCAACAAATACCCAATTGTAACAGAAGAATCGTTACCTCTTGAACTTGAAAACCCAGGAACCGGGTTCACCGAAATCCTCGAAATCCGGTAATTGGACGGACCCCTCAAACCCAAAACCTCGCCGCTTTCATCAGCTTTGACACCAAAGGTCGAATCTTTTAGTACCAACTGCAAGAACCCAACTTGGTCAGAGTTCTGGCCGGTGGGGAAGAACACAACAATGGTCTTAATCTGCGGGCACTGGAGGACCTCAAGGCGGTTGTGGAGGAGGGAAGAGACGACGTCGTGTTTGTGGTTGTGGGGGCCCAATAGAGAGGCGATGGAATGGGAGGTGGAGGGAAGAGGGGCAGAGTCCGGGGAGGAGGTGAGGAGGAAACGGGGGAGAGAGAGGTGGGGCAGAGGAGGGAGATGGGGGAGAAAGCAGGAGGAAGAGAAGAGGACGGCGGCGGAGTTGGGTTTAGGGTTGAAGATGAGGGGACCGAGGATGGGTTTAAGTGAAGGGTTTGAGAGGAGGAGAGGAGGCTTGAAGACTGATGAGATTGGGAAGAGAGATTTCCATTCCTCTGGGATTATGTTCATGTCCACTGTTGATTGATTGATGGATCGATCAATCATTTCAAAAGTCCCTCCAAACGCTTCTGCAAAATTGGTGAATTTTTTAGGGTTTTAAATTCATAGTTTACAGCAACTATAAATCATTTCCAAAAAAGGAGACAAAGTTTGGATAACAACACATAATAATGAATTGATATCAAAAGCTACCAACAGCTTAACTGCTTTCACAAACATATATATCGCAATACACATAATACATATTTTACTTCTGAAAATCCCATAAAACCACAAATCAATACATTAAAAAAAAAAAAGGTCGTACCCAGTGCACAAGGCTCCCGCTTTACGCAGGGTCTGGGAGAGGTGAATGTCGGCTAGTCTTACCCCCATTTATGGAGAGGCTGCTCCCAAGCACAAATCAATACATTCATCTAAATAATTCAAAAATTAACAGAACAGCTAAAACAACATGGTAAAATAAGTCTTTTAAGTTACATTAACATTCTATTTACTTTACATCAAGAGCATATGTGCAATCCAAAGGGGAGATTTCTAAGTTAGAGTTATACATTTCCAAAAAGTTTCCCACATTGATTAGCCGTTCAGTTTGCACCTGCATTTTGCTAACTCTACGTTAAGAGTTCTATGTACAACCAAAAAAAGCAGATATCAATGACTAAAAAAACTAATACACATTCCTAATTTTCTAGGAAGATAACATCATGACAGAATATTCTAAAACAATATGAGAGCATTAACATGCAAAAACATTCTAGGAAACAATAGCAACACAAATAGTCTTCACAGAACGTTGCAAATACAGATAATCTTCACAGAAGACTGCAAATTAACATGTTCCATCTAAAAAGGATCACCATAGTCTTCTTCCTGCCATTATGTTCACTTAGTCATACCGTGTACTAAAGTACAGACACGACCAATCGCATAAGATATGACTTGAAAACGTAATAATATTCAGATGAAAAGCAACCAGGTTCCGACCACAGCGATATGCCAAAGAAAATATCATTCAAACCCACAGCTTACAGCCCATCTCGTCGTTCCAAAATTTGCAAAAAAAAAATCAACTGCAACAAATGCCAAAATTATCAAATAGTGTTTTAAAAGATTATAAATTTTTTTAACTTAATCAATTAGTTTAGTTTCAATGACCTCCTCAACATTTTGGAAGGGCAAGAACTTTGCCCAGAGAGCCAATATCTGTCTACAAAAGCTCTACCTCAAGTCAGCAAACTCCCAAAATAATATGAAAATAACCCAAACCCATAAACCCTTCCAAAACCCCAGCAATCGATATAAATTTGAAACCAAGAAAAATTGGGGGATAATCAAATTTACTTGAGGAGATGAAGAGGGCAATTTTCGCCTACCTTCAGTCAAGAGGAACTTGTAAAACGTGGTGGTGGATAAAGTGGTGGCGGTGGCTGTCTGGGTTTTGGATGAGCAGACAGCGGTCTGGGTTTTGGGTTTAGAACGATGTGGAAGAACATTGTGGTGAAGGAAGGGGTGCGCGTCGATTCAAACTGGAGCAAGACGGAAGAAGGAAACGATGCAGAGGAATGAAGCCACAAGTTTCTGTATACTCTACCTTTTTTTCTCTCTAGCAAATCAGCAATAGTGAAGAGGGGGACTAGCACCCTATACATATTTGTAAACACCTATTTGTCGATTTTTCTTCCGAACTTAGAAGGTCAAGTGATTTTTCAGTGTTTTCGGCTCCAGAACACTAGGTGAAAGGGCTGGTTCGGTATGGGATACCGAACCGAAACCCTTGTCCCAATTCGCAAACCGAAGTTTTCGGGAATCCCAATTTCAAGACCAATCCCAAGCCAAATTTTTGGGAATCCCAAAATAGTCTTGGGCTTTTGAGCTAAAATTTAACCTTTTATATTGAAATTCAAATAAAGGAAAGATTATTAATCGATTAATATCAATGCCGTTTCCACACTGTTAGATTTGCTTTTATTATTATTATCTCTATATAATTCTTTCAAGATAAGGCTGACTGGCTGTGACTGTGATGTATGCCCAAACAAATTTCAAATATGTGAGATGCCTCCCCATTACCACAGGAGACAGAAAAAAAAATTTGAATAACTTGTTATTACCTGTGATTTATTCACAACGTCGTCTTCTTTCCTGTAAAAGGAGGCAGCTTCTGGCTTCTCAGTTATGATAGCAATCCACTGGTAAAATCCATGGCAGAATTCCCTAAATCATCACACAAAGGTGCACCTTAGTAATTTTACATATGACTCATTTGACTACTTTTGGCATACTCAAAGCAAACAAAGTAATAGAAGACTTGGCCGTAGTCAAAGTTAGCTACAACAATATGCTTCCCCCTCTACACCCAAGTTCGAATCCCCCTCCCCATAGTATATATTAGATTAGAAAATCGATCAAATACAAATAAAAGAAAAACAAAGTAATAATTCATGTTCTTTTCTTAAACCACACCTGCTACTATTTGATAAAGAGAATGATGTAGTAGTTTTGTGCACAATCTATTTAGCCAAATGTGCTTGGTGTGCTAGACACAATGTCTCCAACTCTAGTAGAAAAATTAAAGGGGTTCCTCAAGTTTCTATTAGAATCGGGCACACTACATTAGGGATACATAGAAAACACTCCTGATTTTAGTTCATTTAAATGACATTAATATTTGTAGTTTTATAGACTTTCAAATGAACAACAAAATGACTGCAATAGGATAAATAGTTCTCAAAATAGCTGCTTGAAATGAAATTAAAGAACAGAGACCAATATATTGGTGTTGTTTCCATAGTCATATAGACTTTCTTTCCTGTTTCTTATATTTGAGAACAAACCAACTCGTAACTTCCACCCCATTTCCTCTTTATAATTCAGCTGCCAATAGGAATCAAATTACCAAGATTGATAATTATAGCGTAAAAAGACTCATCCTTCTGATCTATCCAAAGCAAATGAAAATCACATATCCGCAAAAAGTTATAAACGTTGGGTAGAAACACTAAAATTTCTAATACTATCGTTCAGTCATTACATATCTTCTACCTCCATATCAGTTCCAAGTGCTAAATTTCACAAACCCTAATCTAGATTTCACAAACCCTAAATTAATTCCAAAATTTACCTTATTTGGGGGAGAATCGGTGCACAGTGCACCGGAATCTGGATGAAGAAGTCGAGAGAGATCAGAGAGGTGAGCGGCGCCTGTGGCCGTGGCTCTGCCTCTGTGCCATGAAGGAAGGCTCCTCCACAGTGAGGGTCTAAGCAATGAGAAGTCGAGAGAGAGAGATCAGAGAGGTGAGTTGCTTGTGTGATGTGGGTGTGGCCGGATTCTGAGGTGAGGTCGAGGAGGGCGGTGAGGTTGTCTGAGAGAGAGAGTGACCGAGTTGAGTTCTACGAGGGTTTGAACTTTGATTTGTATTCGACGGTTGATATTAAATCCCAACCAAATCCAACCGCTGTTACAATTCCAAATATATATTTAAAATTAGATATTTTTTTTATTTATTTTGGTTCGGTTCGGGATTACCGAACGAATGAAAGTGTGAGACTGATTCCCATACCGAAATTTCGGGATCAATTCAGGATTGGGTACTGAAATTTTCGGAATTTTCGATTTGGGATTTTTTCAGTTTGGGATCAAAAATTTTTCTAATTGGTTTGGAATTTTCGGTATTTTTTTTTCCACCCCTCAAACACCATCCTTGAAAGACACTTGAAAAAAAAGAATTCCTCCAATCATATAATGACATACATATGTGATGTTCAGCTCTGTGTTTCAGACACAGTGAAAAGTCTCTCGTTGACATGACCAATTTCTCCCGGACTTTAATTTTAGCTCATTACCTCCAATTTCTCCCTGCGGTTAGATTTATAATTTCCTATCTAACATTGTGTCCATCTTGATCGCATGTAGCCCACTTGAGAAATTTTTAAGGAAAGAAACGTTATTTAAAATGCAGATTGACTTTTATCTCAGCCTATTCTTACTCAATACTTCATCCATTAAGATATTGAACAACAAAAACATGATTTATGGTTAAATGATCGTCATTTTGGTATTTTTGTTATAGCACCATATTCGTCTAATTTTTTTTTTTACTTCAAAATATCTTAATAATTTTGAATATGTTTAATTTTTGTAATAATGATCTAAAACTGATAAAATAAATTATACACAACTTTGAATCGTTGAAAAACAAAAAAAGGAATGAACCTTACTTGGTGACCCTCAGATATCTTATTCGATGGATTATTGACCAGATGAGGATTGATACCATACATGTTGCATTGTCGTTGTTCATGCGATCTAGCGAAATCCCCCTAAGCGGAATAAAAAACGAGAAAGGTTTGACTCTTAAGATGAAAGAGGAGTTCCTCCTCAAAGATACTTTGAGATTGATTTACAAAACTTTGTGTTTATAATTAAAACCGTTTATAATATAAATTAATTTGTAAATATCATATTTACAAAAAGTCAATAAAAAATAAGAGCTCTAACAAAATAAATAAACAGTTCGTAATAACCTCGTCTCGCCTTTTATAAACTCTCATTCTCGCTTGCTTACCTAGCTCTTGTTTGAGTGACCCTTCCTCTTTCTATGTTTTTACACGAATGAGATCAATCACATCTGATCAGTGAGAAATTCTGACACCAATAATTTACATGTGAGTATTTTTTATCGAATTTGTCCATATGTTTTCATATAGTTTGATGACTAAATGATCGCCAGCGAGTTTTGATCATGAGCACGAAATCACGAAAATCTGAGTAACTCCTCATTAATCTTAAAGGGCCAAGTTAATTCCATTACTACTGTAAATTAACAATTCTTTTATGCCAAATTTCATCCCCTTATCATAAGTAAAGTTCTAAAAGACGTTAGGTGTTAGTCGAGCGATGAGTTAAGGCTTAGCACCTACACAGCTAGGCTGTGACCTAGGCGGACTAGGCAAATTTAAATAAATTTATTGTATATTGTATAAATAAGTGTGTATTTATACTTAAAAGACAAAGAATTGTATACATAAGTTGCAAAATAAAATAATATATAGATTATAAAATACTAAAACATATTGAAAACATGGGGAACAAGTATATAATGAGTGTTCATCTAAGTATTCAACAAGTCTCTTATATTTTATTGAAAAAATAAAATGCAAAATGAAAGTTGTTGATTTTCTATCTAAGTGAAAGTTGCGACCTAGCGGGTGCCTAGGCTAGTTTGGGCAGGCTGGACGGACACCTAAGCGAGTCTAGGCGCTCTTTCTTAATTTTCAAACGCCTACAAACTAATCGTAACAGTGACCAACTACCTAACATCTAGGCGGGACTTAGGCGGCGCTAGGCAGGAATTTTGACAACGGTGATCATAAGGTGAAGAATTGTTCCAAGAAGCATGACTATTGACTAGTACCATATTGCTCTAATTCTTCCTGGAGCTTCTGGATAATCATGTCCTTCTCAGCAATGGTCTCAGCAAGTCTCCTATTCTCCTCCCTCAGCACCTCAAACTGACACACCACACTAGCAATCTGTGCTTCAATGGCCTCATCACTCAACTCAAAAGCACTCTCAACCACCCTAACAACACGCCACAAACTGACCACAACAAGCAGCCCGCCACCTTTTCTCTCAAGAAACTCTTCTAACACCAACGCACCCATCAAAACAACCCCGTCGACCATGTACCCGGGACGCCTGAAAAACGTAGACATGCCGAGCGCAACAGCCTGAGCCACCGTCTTCGCCGAAAGCAGGGCGAGAATAGCAATCCCCACCCAATGGTACCAGATTTCTTGTGTCCTACTGCTCTTGTTTGGTGGTGCTGTGTTGCACTTGGTAAATAAAGATGAGGAGAGTTCGAGGATGGTGAGAATGAGATCAGTAATCAGCAACGAAATACAAATTGTATGAACTGGTTTGGACTCGAGGAAATTGGCCAAGTGAGTCCTCCATGGTGCTCTATTAACATTAAGGTCTTGAAACTGTGTGGAGTTGTTGCAGAGAAACTTCTGCCATTGTTGCCTTCTGTGCCAGCTCCTTGTGAGACGTTGGATTGAGGATTCAATGGATTCAATGGAGAATGATGAGGTGGTGGTTGTGAAAGGGCCAGGTAGTTGTTGAATCTGAGATGATGAGGACCCTTTGTTTTTCATTTTTTTGGTTGATTGGTATTCTTTTAAGTTTGTGTTTGGTTGATTACGATGATATTTATGAAGGATAAGTTTTATGTTTGGTCCTTGTAGTTTGATTTCTTTTTCACTTGAGGCCCTGCCATTTCAACGTTAGCGATTATAGTCATCTAGTTTGGTTTGGTTTGGTTTGACGTATTGCGGGCCTGTTTGCTTTCTTCTTAGTGAACTTGGGGTTCGGATGACTTCTCCTATTTTACTGCATTATGATAATTTGAGTGCCACTTACCTTGCAACTAATCCAATTCATCATGCTCACACGCGTTATATCCAGCTTGATTATCACTTTGTACGTGAAAAAGTTGCTATTGTTAGTCATCGTCTTTGTTATATTCCATCACTTGATCAACCGGCCAATCTTTTCACTAAAGCTCTTCATTAGCCTCGTCATGGTCTCCTTTGTTTCAAACTTGTCTCATTCGGCTCATCCAGTTTGCAGGGGAGTTAGACTAGAATTAATTGCTCCGACATCCTCTCCGTGATTGCAGCATGTAATATAGGAATGCAATTTCTAATTGTAATACGGTAAAATTCCTACCTCATTAGAGATTAATATAACCCCTATATGCATTGTAATAATTTTCACACGTCAATGTAATGAGTCATAATTCTACAGAAAACCAAGGGCTTGAATGCTTACCAAAAAAATTACATGGCTAAAATTGCCAAATTAAAATGTTCAGGTCTAAAACGATAAAGTGGTCAAACTAGAAAGGTGACAAATGTGATTTGCTAAGAAGAGACATCCATACTTAAAGTCCAAGTTTTATATGCTTTGCGGTCACGTTGAATGCCATACCGCAGTTGTACTTGTATTGCATGCGACACCAGGAGTTTGGAGAACGCGTCAAGCATCGTGCACCGATCAAGCTTGAGCCTTTTTCCAGTTTTTGTTTTAGTTTTCTTCAATTTTAATACCAAAAGTAGAAAAAAAATAGGATAAGGGAAGGGGAAATGAAAGAAACAAATCGATGATAAAATAAAATTCATCGAAGAGAGTTATAGAACCTTAAAATCAATTGGCAATATGAGAAGTAACTTAATAAGCTCAACAACTTACATGTATGTGTAAGGTCTCTTATGCTCAATAACTTACAAGTATGTGCAAGATCTCTTCGTTTGTCAATTCTCGACAACCATATTATTTCGGTATAATAACTACGTGCTATGAAGGAGAGATTTTCTCTTAAGACCAATTTATCGTTTTAGTGATATCATTCGATAAATTAATAATTGCTAGTTGGTACTTGCTTGAAAGGTGAATTATTCATCCAACAGTAGCTTGCCACGTGATAATTTGGTGACAAAAGAGTATCCCCGTTAAATAGGAGAATTGATCAAATATAGCAAAAAATTAGCCCTTAATTAAAAAATGTTTTTTTTTTTTAACTTTCAAATATATCAAAAATCTCACTTAAATAGATACAAATACTCTCAATTTACATGAATAACGAGTTATTGACTAAAAAACTTCTTGTGCTATGTATAATCAAGTGTTGATCTCACTAATATTTTTCTCATTTTCTTTTACGAAGAAGGTTTTTCTCAATTTTATTTTTTAATAAATAACCAAAGAAACCTTTCTTGCATGGTTCCCACAAAATATTAGAATGGTTACATACTTTATTCATATAGCAGAAAGTGAACTACTAGAGTAAAGAAATAAAAGTAAATTAACTTTAGTTGTCTTCAATTTAAAGGATTGCAAGTACAACCAAAATAAACAATAAAATGATCAAAAGAAAATATTTACTCACTACACTCCAAATTTAAAAAGAGTTCTATAAAGTAGGATGAAGTGAAATAAGATTTTCAACAACGGTCATTTGAACCATGTTGATGCACAAAATCGGATTGATCTTGGACCAACTTAAATCCAATCGTAAATCATAGACACACAAGATCACAACGATATATCGTGGTTTACTCAAAGTTGGGGCTACGTCTACATTTATGTAGATTCACTGTCACCATGTAAACTGAGAGTTACATTGTACATAGAGGTTTGTTACTAGAGAGGTTAGGGTTTGCTATTCTTCTAAAGTGAAGGTGAGAGATCCCTTTTATAGAACTAGGGTTTCCCTCCCCTCTTACTTACTTCATGAGTTCATGGGCGTAATAAGGAGGCATATTGAGTCCCAATCTATGGTACAAAAAATCAAATTTTGAACACTTCCGAGTTAAATTTTTCTTATCCACATGATGGGATCCTCTTTTCATTTTGCACCTACCATATCTTCTTCGTGTAATTGGTGGAAGGACAATTCTTTCCTGCACATCATCAATTACTATCTGATCAGTCTAATCACCAACTAGCCAATAGCTTATGCATACGCAATATGACCAAAAATTTGTAGTATAATAATGAGAACACATAGGATAACGTGAAATTTATCAATACCTACATGCAACACAAGCATGTGAGCAAGGTAGTTGGTCAAGATCAAATTGTCTGCATGTACAACTCTTTTCCTCTAAATTCACAACTTCAACACGAGATACATCATATAAATAAAATGAGTAAACTGCGATGAACGATACCTACATAATCACATGCATATACATACATATTGCTCAAACAAAAGAATAACTGAACAACAAAAAGAAATCTGCATAGAAACTATACAAGCAATTTGCACACAAATGATCAACAATAATTCTTGTTAAAATGATATGGTGATTGAGATTTAAAAAAAAAAGACAAGTGAGATAAAAGATAAGACGTAGGACTTTAATTCTTCTTCTAATAGGGTTTTGATTTGGGAAATTTTATTTAAACCCATGTAACTTCTTTCTACACCCAACTTAAATTTTAAATGTTAATTGTCTATTTTACCCTATTGCATAATTACTATTAAGTATAGAGTGAAATTAATAATAAAACTCAAATTTCTCAATAAACCCAGGCATTATAATTAAACCCTAGCATCACCATTTGTTTGTCCTACGTCCATTCCGACTAAAACCCTAATAGTTTTGATAGAGAAAAACAAGCTTTTTTTTTATTGATGGATATTGATTTTGAAGTTTTGAATCCTCCAACGTATGACTCGATTTATGGATAGTTTGTTTATTTGCTTCTTCTTTGGATTAAATTTCATACTTATTATATTATATTATATTTGTTTTTCTCTGCCGTCTGTCTGCCCCCAAAACACCATTGCAAGGCCTTTTGATTAGTAGTGCAAAGACATATAACTTGATTCTTGGTGCAAATAACGATTGCCCAACCTTATAAACCTTGACCACTCATTAGCAGGTGGCATGTCTCCATCCAAATCCAAAGTATCAAGGTCAAATGTTTTTCTGGCAAAGTGATGGATTGAACTAGAGCTTGCATTGCTTTCTCTGGCAAATTCAAATATGTGGAAGGATCTCTGGATCCCAAGTCTATGGATGGGTTTGGTAGCAAAAAAAAAAAAAAAAAAACAGCCATGGAAATGTTAGTCATATGCAATTATATAGGGGCAAAGGACGCCTCTTTGAAAAAAAAAACATTAAGTTAGAGATGTTATTTTATAAGGGGAATGAGTGTACTAATAACTTTTAATAACTTTACATTTTGAATTGGGTTTGAGATGGTAGTTTAGGTAATAAATTTAGGTTTAAAGAGATATTAATTCTTTAATTAAAAAATATATGTGTGAAGAGAGTAAGTTAGGTGTAGAAAGATGTTAGATGAGTTCAAATAAAATTTTCCTTTTGATTTTACTGTCAGGTTCTCTAATATATAATAGGATTTTGGTATTTTAGTTTATTTGATTATTAAACTTAAAGGTAAGCCAGATTTTGAATATATTTAAGATTTTAGATAAAAGCTGACATTTTGGAAAATTGAGCGCTAGTTTTTTGAATTGGATCCCATCCGGATCTATTTTGTGAAGATCTTATTTATCGTGTATTGTGCGGTAAAAAATTATTCGATTTTTTTATTTAAAATTAAACACAAATAATACCTGACGAAAACTAACCGTACGATATACAAACTAACCGTACGATATACGATGAACAGCTACAATGTAGGAATTCCCATAAAATGGATCCAAAGAAGATCACTTTCCCTAGTTTTCATGAAATATTATTTATTTTTAATTTTAAATATAAAATTTAAAATAATTTTGAACGCACAACCAATCAACACAGATAAAAGGATGCCTGATCCTCACAAAGAGGATCTCTCTCATTCCCCCGTCTCACAATTTTTCCACTTTCTTCACTATACCTCCGCCCCACCCCACAGCCACGATGCCCGCACTACTACACAGATTGGCGTCTCAGTAACTTCCCAATCCCATCTCCCCTCCGGTGAAGCTCCTCCCTGACAGGTATTTGATTTTGCGTCGCAGTATTCTGAACTATTGATGGATTTTTGTTTCTTGTTTTCTTCATTGTATGTTCTTCTGGTTAGATATTAAAGTTAAAGGGGGCAAAATGTTCGGTATTTCGTACGGAGAGCTCTTCCTCTTGATCGGTGCCACAGCTGCTCTAGTCGGTACACACACAAACTCTCTCTCTCTCTCTCTCTCTCTCTCTCTCTCTCTCTCTATATATATATATATCTTATGTGTATAGCTACAGCATTATTCTCAAAATTGGTTCAGAATTCTTTTACTTTTCTTTGGTAAGGTTCAAAGCTTTTCTGGGTTATCTGAGATTTTGGTGTTTATCGAAGATTGCTAATTTTACTGGAAACAGAAACTGAAAAATTGATCTGGGTTTGATGTGTAATGGGTTGTAGGACCAAAGGATTTGCCTAGAATTGCCAGAGCAGCAGGGAGGTTAGCGGGTCGGTCCATCGGGTATGTTCAGTTGGCTCGAGGCCAATTCGATAATGTTATGCAGCAGTCTCAAGCTCGCCAGGTACTTGATTGATAACTATGCATTGTGCACAACACCGTAAATGATAACTTCAATGTTCTTGAACCAAAGGCCGTTGTGTTAATTTATGTCCCTTGCTTGACCTTTAGGTTCATAAAGAGCTTCAAGATGCATTGGCTCAGCTAGAGTCGATTCGTTATGAAGTCCGAAGCATATCACTTATGAACCCGGGTCCTATGACTCGAAAGCTGATTGATAATATTCAAGACCCGGCTCCTTTGAGCAGTGGTAGTATTCTTAGCAGCCATACATTATTTCCAAGTAATGTTATGCTTCTCTCATGATTACCAGTGTATATGTCAACTTGTTAGGAACCAACATTTCACTTGAGAAGTCCAAGGAGGAGCAGAAATCAATAAATAGTGTAATGAAGGTTTCAATAAGACGATTTCTTTTTATAAATGGCCAACTTTGCATCGCCTTGAATTCCTTGTACCTATCTTTGACAGGATAGTACTTTGAGAACCTCCGACGCACCTAATTTTCATAGTCAAGCAACTGCATATGCAAAATTGGCTGAATCTGATACTGTGAAGACTGGCACTTTAAAAAGCAGTGCAGAGAAAGATGACCTTTATGATGAGAGTGGTCTTTTCATTGTTCTCCCAATTTCAGCTGAAAGCACTGGGATGCTACCAAATCGCAAGGGTAATAGTCTTCTTGATTATAGAACTTAGTTTTGTTATCATTTATTTTATCGTCCAAATGTGGGCACATGATAGGGAGCACCAGGATGAAATTCCCATTTCAATAGCTTGGGAACAACATATCCTTAAATTTTCTTTTGTAAATCACTTACTTTTCTGTATTTCCCAAATTATCTTGAGTTATAGAGGTCAAGAATTTCTGTGCTGCACATATTATGTGCAATGGTTGTGCACATATTATGGTTTTGTATTGTGTTTGTCTATACCCTTGTATGGTTGTTCGACTTGGGAGCAGCCTCTCCATAAATGGGGGTAAGGCTAGCCGACATTCACCTCTTCCAGACCCTGCGTAAAGCGGGAGCCTTGTGCACTAGGTACGGCCTTTTTTTTTTACCCTTGTATGGTTGTTCGACAAAGGTGTTGCTCTTTCTTTTAGTCTAGTTGTGCATGATTTCCCATATGAAATTGATTCGCTATCGCTGGTGGTTCTTTCGGGGTTGTTGAGTTCCCACTTGCTGAGCTATGGGCTTAAATACGCGTCATAGGAATACCCTTGAAATATTTCCTGATTGCTCAGTAATACTCTTAAACACACGTCATAGGAATACAATTCTTGATTGCTTAGTATGTAAAATCTTGCACATTAAACTTTTTCCCCAAACCTTTATTCAGACACACACATATATAGTATTTTTATGTTATAACTTAACATGCCTTAGAGTTTCCTGAGAATTTGTAAACAGTTTTCCTTTTCATCTCAGATATACATGTTTGAATAATAACCAGTGGTTGTGATGGCAGAGAATGTTAAAGGATCGGACCTTGTGTTGGAAGCAGTAGTTGAAGCAGAGGTAGCACGTAATGCCAAAGATTTCTTTTCACAACCTGAAAATCAAATACAGGGAACTGAAAAGTGACTGAAAAGGTGAGGACCTTTTTCTTTAAAAAAAAAAAATCATCACTTTGTTTATGTTTGGCATTGTTGGTACAGAACCGAGCACAATGGCGTTATAGGATTCAGACAGAGCCGACCCCACTTAGTGGGAAAAGGCTTTGTTGTTGTTGTTGGCATTGTTGGTATTAAACAACAAACTTTACTTCTTGTTGCAGCGTCGTTAGGAACAACTAAAATTGTCATGTAATAGAGGAATTTTGTTCACATTTAAAGCGGTTGGTTTATTAGTATGTGCGGATGTTTAGGGTGTAGGGGATAAGGGCAGGGGTATATCAGATGCGAGTCAACTTGTTTTTGGCTGTGCATATTAAACACATTAGTTGCTCATCGCAATTTTCAGTTTGCGTTTCTACATATTTGCAGTACAGAATATGTTTTATGTTTACATGAAACTTTTTTAGGTAGGTTTCCTCGAACAAGCAGCTAGTGAAACATTTTAAAAAGGAAGTATCAGCTGGATGCAGAATTGCATACCCTTTACCCTCTAGGGGGAAGTTTTAAAAGTTCAGCAGGTGTTTAATACAGAAATGGAAATTAAGAATCGCCCAAAAGAGACCTTGCTCAATTTCAAGCGGATGAATTATGCCAAAAACTTCGGGCTGGCCAACATGTCTATTTTCCATTATCTGTCCCACCCATCCACGAAATTCTAAAACTTGAAAACTTGGTGGAGCAGCTTGGACTTCTATGGATTAGCAGGTGGGAAAATAGCCATGTCAGTCAACCTGAAGTTTTTGACGTACTTCATACCTTAAGATTGGGCAGGATTTGATTCGAGTTTCAGATCTTCACTTTCCATTTCCTTCTAGTTATGGGTTCATAAATATTAGAAGTAATCTTATGTTCTAGCAGGAAGTGTAAAAACATCCAATAGCTGCAAACAGATGTCCTTGGAATTTGGTTGGAACATGTATTACATGGATGGTATTCCAATGGATTTGAAAGACAAACGGAGGAATATGACCAAAAAGGGGCGTCAACTAACTAAATCACTTCTAACTCAGAGATACATTGCACCTTTAGTTAGTTGATGCCTCTTTTTTGGGTCATATTCTGCCGCTTGTCTTTTAAATCCATTGGAATACAACCTGACCAGATTGCAATCTTTTCAGCGGGGACTTTTTCGGTAGTGACTGGATTAAGATAACTAAGTTAGATTCCGATGATTTGGTCAATCAAAACCTTACATCTGTTTTTTTTTTTTCTTCAGATAGGCATCTAAACGTATGAATGAAGAGATTGACAAGGCCAATGACAAATATATTACAAGCAGGCATCTAAAGCCATACCTCTAGCCCAGAGGTTTTTCAATGTATCGGGAATACGATTTGATACACCAAGTGTAATATTACACTTGGCTGAAAACTTGGAAGGAAAAAAAATTCAACTAATTGTATTATGATACTGGTATACCAGGTTGTCTTCCCGAGACTAATAATTTCTCCTTCTAGCTAACTCTTTGAACATTGAGGAGTCGACCATGCAAAGGGCCACAGAGGAACCCCCTAATTCCCCTGGAAGATAATCGAATAGGCAGATTAAACTAAAAATTTACTATTTGAAATAACCCCAGATAACTCTATCATGAGGACTTGACGTCATCCTCACCCTTTTTCGGCTTATCATCGGCTGTCTGCTAATGATTCCAAACTCAACGGTGTTAACTAAACACGAGGGTTGCGTTCGTTGCAGGACTTAACCGATATCGCTAACATACATGATGGCAAATATTGCTTGCAATAATTAAGCCACAATTTCGTGGACTAATATATTTATAAGCATAAATATATTTATATTTATATTTTTGCCCGTATTGCACATGACTCACATGATGCCACCGACCGCTAGGGCCGGAAATTGTGGCAGCCACCATCATTGGTGTCGGAAAATTTAAGTCTCCGCTCACCAGTGACATAAAAACATAGCAATATACGTGTAATTTTTTTTATCTTTATTGTTTTTACGTGTGTATTATGAGAAAATATTTCATCATTTAACATTTTTTTTATATAAATTATATTGAGACTGAAACTTTTGTTTTTTTCCTGAAAGACACGATACACTCAGTCAATCAACATCACTGTTGCGCAGGCCCTTACGTACGTTTACTTATCCTTCTAGAAGTGGAAGATGACTCGCTCCGCTTACGACTCCACCAACCACTCCGCCACCGCCACCGCCACCGCCACCATCCTTCCTGCTCCCTCATTTTACCAAACTGCCTCCATTCATATCACACACACACACATATATATACACGTCTCTCTCTCACTCACACACACACACACACTCTCACTCCTCACTTTGCAATTAACAACCGCGGTTATCAAGCAATGGCAGGAGTAGTGAGGAGGATCAAGTTGGGATCGCAAGGCCTGGAGGTTTCGGCTCAAGGCCTTGGCTGCATGGGCATGTCCGCCCACTACGGCCCTCCGAAGCCAGACCAAGACATGATCACTCTCATCCACCACGCCATCGACGCCGGCGTCACCCTCCTCGACACCTCCGACGTCTACGGCCCCTACACCAACGAAATTCTTCTCGGCAAGGTAAAGTTTTGTTTGACTTTTTTGCTCACAAGTCACAATCACAGTCAGTCACTCTGAGTTTCTGTTCAGTAACTTTTGGATTTGGAATTGTTTGGATTGATGATGAAATGAACTGGGTTGGCTTCACTCTTGTTCTTCTAGAGAGAGAGGGAGAGAGAGAGAGAGAGAAAGAGAGAGAGAGAGTAAAATAGAAATTTACTTTGTGGGTTTTGTTTGGATTGTTGAATGGAATGAACTGATGATCAAGTGCATTGGGTTCGAATCGATTGTACTCTTGGTTCCTGTAGTGAATTTATATGTAATTGGTTTGTGGGTTTTGTTTGGATTGATGTTGAATTGAGCTGACTAATTATGGAGTGAATTGGATTTTGTTGGTTTAATGAGGAGCAGGCGCTCAAGGGAGGGGTGCGAGACAAGGTTGAATTGGCCACGAAATTCGGTTGCAGCTTTGTGGATAACAAGTGGGAGATTCGAGGTGACCCTGCGTTTGTGAGAGCTGCTATTGAGGGTAGCTTGAAGCGCCTTGGCATTGACTCTGTTGATCTCTATTATCAGCACCGCATTGACACCCGTGTCCCCATTGAAGTCACGGTTTGTTATCTTCACTCACTAAGTTTTAATCTCCTTTTAATTGCAATTGCAGAACAATGTGGTTAACAACTTCATAGAATATTATGAACTAAGAAAACATGACAGGTGTATTTGTAAGAACGGTACTCGAAGAGAACCAACTCTTATTCAGAGTAAGTAAGCATCTGCATTTTCAGGAAGTTATTTGGAGATTTACGATGTCTTCTATCATTTTAACAAGTCACATATTTTATGAATTCGTCAACTTGATTCCGTTTGTCTCCAAGTCATGTATTGTATCCAAATTAGTTTAAACAAACCACTGTATAATTATCTGTCCGCTGTAGCTATGTCGCTTTTTTTTTACTAGAGCATTTGCATCATGATTCCTTAAATTTCTTTATGTCTTTACAAGGTTGGGGAACTCAAGAAATTAGTTGAAGAGGGTAAGATAAAGTACATTGGTTTATCCGAGGCCTCAGCTTCCACAATAAGAAGAGCACATGCTGTTCATCCAATAACAGCAGTGCAGTTGGAGTGGTCGTTGTGGGCTAGAGATGCGGAGGAAGATATAATTCCAACTTGCCGGTGAGGCTTAGTAGGACTTATTAATTGTTTTTGTTAAGGAGGTGGCAGTAGATGTTAATCTCGTTTTCCTATTTTCTCAGGGAACTTGGCATTGGTATTGTTGCATACAGTCCTCTAGGAAGAGGATTTTTTTCATCAGGCGCTAATTTCGGTCGACAATCTAGCCAACGATGATTTCCGAAAGGTTTGTTGATATGCACGTTAGAGAACATAGGAAATTACATTGTAGCATCCTCGTGCTATTATTGTGAATATCCTTAAGTCCTCAAATTAGGAATGCTCTCACGAAGTTTAGTAATCTCTCCTAGCAGGCTATCCTCTTGCGGAATTCATGCAGTAAAGATTTTATTTCTCATTTAGTATCGAAGTGGACATGATTTATTTCGGCATTAGAGGCTTAAACATCCCTTAAAATAATTGTATTTTGAGGGTAGATTAACAGTATACTGTCAGCTGAACCTGCCTTAATTGATTTCTTTTCTACAATCCGAGGAGTCTGTATTGTGTTGTTACAAAGTTATGTTGTATATGCTTATATATGTGGTTTATTGGTTGCAGTATCTACCCAGGTTCCAAGCCGAAAACCTAGAGCATAATAAAACAATATTTGATAGGGTTAGTGATCTTGCAGCAAGGAAGGGGTGCACGCCATCTCAGCTAGCACTGGCCTGGGTTCATCACCAAGGGAATGATGTGTGTCCCATACCCGGAACCACCAAGATTGAGAATTTTAACCAGAATATTGGAGCTCTGTCTGTGAAACTGACACCAGAAGAAATGGCCGAGCTTGAATCTTATGCTTCAGCCGATGCCGTTAAAGGTGACAGATATATGGATGGCATTAGTACTTGGAAGGACTCCGAAACTCCGCCACTGTCTTCATGGAAAGCCGCATGAGTGTGTGCAGTGCCACTGTCGTAATAGTGATGTCTCTTTGTACTTTACGCTCTTCTGAATTTCCTCGTGGTTCCGAGAATAAGTAGTGTATGCTACATTGTATGTAATGGCTTTCTTTGAGACGAAAACATTTGGTAAATTTCAACGTGCTGTTTGAGTATCAAAACTGGGAACTCTTTTCCACTTTAAGAAATGACCAGAAATATTGCCCGCGCGTAGGGATTAGAAACTGCAAGAAAAAATATGTTTCAGAAGGATAAAAGATTGTTATAGATGGTTAATGTTTTTTACACTGAAAGATGTTTTACATGAAAAGGATAAATTGGTACAATTGAAAATGAAGAGTTTAATCAAACTTAATGAGCCTAATTTAAACAAAAATGAACCCAGAATGAAAGCATCTAAACCAACATTATGAAACTCGTGGAACACTATGAAAGAATATGAAATACATATGTTTTTTAAGCTACTTTAGCCGTTTGATTTAAATTTTGGACCGTTAGATTTTTTTTTTTTTTTACCAGTGGTTTTGATCATATTAGAATATTAGTAATTGGATTCAATGAATTTATAAATATTAAACTAAAAAATACATATATATGATGGGTTAGCCCCACTAACTCTTTGCCCCAGAAATGAGTTTCGGATTAAAACTCATATTTGCTCAAAGGTTGAAGCAAGTTAGGATAAGTTTAGAACCTAGAATTTGAGTTTTACTTCAAAAATTGAAGTAGGTCTTAGACTCTTAGGGTAGATAATATCATTTTTTTTCAAAAGAAAAAACAGATTTTTTCGAAAGTCACTATTGGACTGGTCAAAATACGTAATACCATTGATATTTAAACTGAAAGATCGCACTATGCTCCGGAGCTCCTTGAAAAAACTTTTGTGATTACGAAATAATGTTTGTTTGACTTGAATCTTTGCCGTCTTGATCCCGACGGACAATACAATACAAACAATATCCTCCATTTTGGTCAACATCACTGTAACGCAGGCCCTTACGTTACTTATCCTTCTAGAAGTAGAAGATGACTCACTCACTCACTCACTCTCCTTACCACTCCACCACCGCCGCCCCGCCACCACCATCTTTCCTGCTCCCTCATTTTACCAAACTGCCACCATCCTTCATATCACATATATACATACATATATATATGTGTGTGTGTGTGTATATATATATATGTATGTATGTATACACACATCTCTCTCTCTCTCACAGTCTCACTCCCTCACCTGGCAATTCAGTCATAAACAACAACCGCAGTTATCAAGCAATGACAGGAGTAGTGAGGAGGATCAAGTTGGGATCACAAGGCCTGGAGGTTTCGGCTCAAGGCCTTGGCTGCATGGGCATGTCCGCCTTCTACGGTGCTCCGAAGCCCGACCAAGACATGATCAGCCTCATCCACCACGCCATCGACGCTGGTGTCACCTTCCTCGATACCTCTGACGTCTACGGTCCCTTCACCAACGAAATTCTTCTTGGCAAGGTGGGTAGGCCATAACGTTAATTATGTATATGATTCATTTCGTCACTTGTAATTTTCAATCTATCTGAACTTGCCGGTTTGTTTGGATTGAAGGATGAACTGAATCGGGTTTTGATCGGTTTGCTTCCTGTTTCTTTTTGCTTGTACAAGTGTTTTCTGGAAAAGCACCTGCCAGGTGCTTCTTTAAGAAGCTCTTCCAAGTACTTTCAAGGAAGCAGTTTTTATAGTATAAGTCACTTTTAACAAAAACGCTTATGAGCAAAAATGCTTCTATATAAACAGCAGTAGTAAACGATATAATTTCTTTGTGGGTTGTGTTTGGATTGTTGCATTGTACACTCTATATGTCCGGATTGTTGCATTGTACACTCTATATGTCCTGCATTTAATTGAATTTACTGGACCAAGAACATGGTATTTGGGTTTGTTTTGGATTAATGCTGAATCGAGTGATGAGGAGCAGGCTCTGAAAGGAGGGGTACGAGAGAAGGTGGAATTGGCCACCAAGTTTGGTATCAGATTTGCGGAGGGGTACAAGATGGAGGTGCGAGGTGACCCTGCTCATGTGAGAACTTCTCTCGAGAGTAGCTTGAAGCGCTTGGGTGTCGATTCTGTTGATCTCTATTATCAGCATCGCATTGACACCTCCATCCCCATCGAAGTCACGGTTTGTCTTCTTACCTCTTGAATTGTGTATCCTTTTAATTACAACAGAACAATATGCACATGCATCTGAGGCCTGTTAAATTCCTTGATCACGTCTTTGACAAGGTTGGGGAACTGAAGAGACTAGTTGAAGAGGGTAAGATAAAGTACATTGGTCTGTCGGAGGCCTCAGCTTCAACGATAAGAAGAGCCCACGCTGTTCATCCTATATCAGCTGTTCAGTTGGAGTGGTCCTTGTGGTCAAGAGATTCGGAGCAAGAAATCATTCCTACTTGTCGGTGAGGGTCATTGAAACTACCTTAATTTTGTTACAGAGTCCGTAGTAACCGTTCATTCTTTCTAATCTTGGTTTCCTAAATATCTCAGTGAACTCGGCATTGGTATTGTTGCATACTGTCCTTTAGGAAGAGGATTCTTCTCATCAGGTGCTAAGTTCGTCGAAAATCTTGCCCCCGATGATACTCGAAAGGTTTCTTGATGTCACAGAGTTTTTCATTCTAAAGTCATTAAGTATTTCTCAGTTATAGAAGCGCTTTCTTAAGAAGCACGTGCCATATGCTTCTTCAGTCTAATGATTCATTGGTTGCAGTATCTAGCCAGGTTCCAACCCGAAAACGTGGAGCACAATGAAGCACTATTCGAGCGCGTTAGTGAACTTGCAACAAGGAAAGGATGCACGCCATCTCAGCTAGCGCTGGCATGGGTTCATCACCAAGGAAATGATGTGTGTCCCATACCTGGAACCACCAAGATCGCGAATTTTGACGAGAACATCGCAGCTCTGACTGTTAAACTGACACCGGAAGAATTGGCCGAGATTGAATCTTATGGTTTAGAAGATGCCGTTAAAGGCGATAGAATGCCCTCCCATAGTACATGGAGGAACTCCGAAACTCCGCCGTTGCCTTCACTTTAAGCACTTCTGTAACGTATGTTCCTTTTCGAGTTTGTTTGTTATTTCTCTTTCCGTCTAATTTAGGTGTGTGAGGATCTTTGTCTCATAGTGTTTTGTGGTGTTTCTTCTTTGTCATCTTCTTTTTATGTTGTCATCTTCATTAAGGTGCTAAGAGACAATTGAGCTTACTTTTTCGAAAATATCTTGTGATTTTGGTTTTTTCTAACACATACGATTATCTAAATTAATGATTTTGACTATATCAAAGTAGACTAAGCTTACAATAAATTAATTGTATAATTTGGTTTGTGACGATAATCTAACCTAAGACTTTTTACTTATGATTGAAGAGAAATATTGTAATACTAAGCGGCGTAGATTTGAGTTAAACTCAACAAATATATAAGAGAAATGTTAAAGCATCTCAAAAGGAGATATCAAAATATCAAAATCAGCAATAACTGTAAAAAAAGATAACAACAATGTTTTCCAATCAAGAAGCCAAATGTGTTGTGGCATGACGTGGAATAACATCTCTCCCTTGTTGCCAAATTTGATAGCAGTTACAATTTTTTTTAATTAATCATTAAATTCTTTTTTCGTTTGTTCAAAAAAATTTATTAAATGTTTTTTATTGATTTAAAGCATTGTGTTTTAATTTCTTTTCAATACCAATTTAATGTTTAAATATTTTTATACCTTTTAATTTATTTCCTTTCATTATCATTGCAAAGAAAATAAATAACGGGAAATTTTATTGGAACCCTTGTAACTTCTTTCTACACCCATGTTATTTTTAATTAAAGGATTAATATCTTTTTAAACCCAATTTTATTACCTAGACTACCCTCTCAAACCCAATTCAAAATGTAAATTTATCTTTGCACACATTTAAAAAACGAAATCCCAAATTGAAAAGTTGATTGAAGTTTGTATCTGTGCACCAAGGAAAACAAATCTCCAATGTGTTCCTGAAAAGTTTGAATCTGTTGAGGAGTATGTTAGAATATTTGAACAGCTTTTGTTTAAAGAATGCTACCTAGGAGAAATTAACAGAGGGTGTTTCTAAAGATGCTCATATAATTGTTCGTGTAAGAAGCATTGAAAGGAGAAGGAGAGAGAGATGTCGCATGTCCAATTTGTTTCCTCCTACTTTAATGATACATCTGGGTACATATTTTAGAAATAATGAAAATAAAATAGGCTAACCATGCGTATAGGGTTGGCCAATGGCCATTACAACTTATAATACCTATGCTTTTTTTTGCGGCTCTATGATTCTGTGAATTGACTAGAGTGTAACTTTTGGTGGTTAGGGTGTGGTATGATGTAATAGTCCTTCAAGTTGGTGAATGCAAGTAGACATTTAAAGAGGGGATGTGGCAACTCTCTCAACTCCACGACCTAGATCATAATAGTCTCTGGGAATTCTTCTCTATATATCCATGTCGACAAGGGGTCAATAAATTCAAGAGGTATATAATTACCATTCATTGATAAATCCATGTCGGCAAGAGATTAAAACTTCAAAATCATGTTCCATCGATAAATTTTTTTTTTTGTCTTTCTCTACAAGAGTTATTAGGGTTTTAGTTGGAACGAACGTAGGATAAACAAGGCAGGGGCATTTTCGTCATTTTAATAGTATTTTTTTAATTATTAGTTTTTTTTATGCTTTAAAAAAAAAGTGCGCCACAATAGGCTAGCAATAATGTGATTCAATTTCTCTATTTTTAAACACGTTCAAAACATCTTAAGAGGCGTGTAATGTAGGTAATAGAAAAAGGTCTTTTGCGGATAATAATGTGATTAAATTAGTTGTCAAATGAATTTTTTTTTATTTATTTTAACAAACGATATTATCTATACTAAGGGGAGAGGGTGGGCATAGCCTCACAATGGGCTAGCAATAATATGATTCAATCAGTTGTTTATTAAATATTATTTTCTCTATTTTTAAACACATTCAAAACATCTTAAGATGCTTGTAATGCTGGTTATAAAAAAAGTCTTCCGCATGTAGATAATAATGTGATTAAATTAGTTATCAATGATTGTTTTTTTTTTAACAAACGATATTATCTACACCAAGGGGGAGATGGGTAAGCTTAGTCTCTCAATGTGCTAGCAATAATGTAATTCAATCAATTTTTTATTAAATATTATTTTCTCTATTCTTGATGTAAAGAGATCGATTTTATTATGTGAATTCAGGTGCTTTAATTGCCACCAAGACAAAAAATTTCAAAGGCATCCCAAAATAATGCATCAAATAAAGTAAGGGCATTTTCATTATTTTAACGGTATTTTTTTAATAATTAATTTTTTGTGCTTTGTTATTAATTTGTCACATCCCAGCCCGGGTGGGACCACTTCCCGAGCTCAACTCCGCTGTAGCACGATATTATCCGCTTTGGGCCCCGATCACGCTCTCACGGTTTTATTTCTAGGAACTCACACGAGAACTTTCCAGTGGGTCACCCATCATGGGATTGCTCTCGTGCGCTACTCGCTTAACTTCGAAGTTCCGATGGAAACCGAAGCCAGTGAGCTCCCAAAAAGCCTCGTGCTAGGTAGGGATGAGAATATACATTTAAGGATCATTCCCCTGGATGATGTGCGATGTTACAATATTGTCACAGCCCGTCCTGAAGATGTGCATTATTTTATTCTCGAGGACGTGAAAGGATGGTTTTATCTTTAGACATTGAGACTGTAGTGTATGTGTGTGTCATATTGAGACTTAGAGGTTATTTGTGGTTTTGGATTGGTGACCCACGTGGACCACACACACACCACACTCACTCCCTCTCTTCTCTCCCGTACCCTCTCATCTCTCTCAGACTCTCTCTCTCTTTCCCCTCTTCGTACGGACAAGCTTCGAACTCCCCATTTCAGGCACGGATCGAAGCTTTAAAGGTAAGGTTCTTACTCATTGTAACCTCCTGAGTCTATTGGTACCCCTGTTTGGATGTGAATGCTTCGAAAACTCGAGAAACCCTAACCCCGATTTTATGCACTATTCATGCACACGTAAAACCTTATGTTTCAAGGAATTCTAAGGACATAGGAAGCTTAAAGAGGTCCTCACGAGTCTCGGGGTACTTCGTTGGAAGGATTTGGATGTCGGAGGAGTGAGATCGACGTGTTTCTAGGTAAGCCGAGCTATCGACCTTTCTCGGGGAAAATCTAGTAGAATTTAAGCCTTGAAACTTGTAACGTGATTCTACATGTTATTAGCTTCATTTTGGTACTAATTTCATGAAAAATGGTGAAGAAACGAAGGAGAATAGTGGTTTTAAAGTTTTACCCAGAAACCGACGACTCACCGGAGAAGAAAGGGGAATATTCCGCCATTTTTGACGGAATATGCTAACACGTCAGTTAGGGTTAACGGTTACCGTTGGGTTTTAACGGAATATTTCAGGGAATATTCCTAACGGCAGTTAAGGAATCCGTCAGGATTCCCTGCACGTGGCGGCGCGTCTTGCCGTGCACTAATCGGCGCATGGCGGCGCGTCTTGCCGTGCACTCATCGGCGCATAGCGACGCGTGAGGAGTCCAAAAATTTATCTGAAAATTTGGGGATGATCCTGAGGTTGTGTAGGTCACTGTGGTATATTCATATACCCATTTTGAGCATTGTATGAGAAGTTATTAGCTAGTTTTGTCTATGTGCTTTAAAATAATGTTTTTATAGTTAATTCGCATATAGGTGATACTTATTATGAGGATGAGCGTATCCAAGGGCGACTCGGGGGCTACGACCCTTCGACATACCAGTGAGTGGGCTTTTGGTTTTCAATATATATTATAGACTTGATATTTTCCCAAAAAATATGTTAAAATGAGATTATGCCTTAAATGCCATGCATATAAGTTTATAATTCAAGTATGAATTGGTATGTGATGCATTATATATATAATTGTGGTGCTGTGGACATTCAGGTAAGCTCAGGTAAGTTATGTTTGGTTATGTGAATCATCGATGATGCGATATGTGACTGAATAATGTTGAGCTCATAAAACTGCACTTAGGGTGATTGTCATTTAGCCATATATATGGCACATGCCTGTTTATTATGTCACCTCCCGCACCATATGCTCATATTAGATCCAATTTAGGTGCATAGTCTTGTCGTACATACCTTATTTATGGTTCCGACTCGTAGGTGACTAGTGATTCATCGCCCAGCTAATGTATGATAGTAATATTGAGCATGATTGTATTACACCCATTATTGTCGTATAGACCTTTTTGTTTGGTTCCGACTCTTGTGCAATATGTTGCCGTATAGGTCATTATAGTGACTCCGACTATATTGATTTCGAGCTATGAATTCAGCCGTACAGATTACTACAGGGATTCCGGTTAACCTATTACATTTATATGAAAGTATTCTTACCTGAATTGCTTACTCTGTTACATCTTGGCATGTCATACATATAAATATGATTATGTGAAGTATGATTTGAATTAATATATTTACATATATATATTTATGTATATGATTATATTTTGATTCTGGGAAAAATTATACATATTTTACAGCGAGGGGTTAGATATGTTGATAAATGAAATGGTTTTGTAAAACATTTGTTTGTGCCTACTCACGTTTTCTGTTTTGCGTCCCTCCAGATTTTAAGTAAGCTTGTTGTTGGTGGCTTGAGGACGTCGGCAGTTCTGACCTACCTAAATAATAGTAGGACATTCCTGGTACTGTATAACTAGTACTTGTCCTACTGGATTGCACCTAGACTTCTTATGCTCTGATTAGTAGTATTTACTTTGGTAATTAACTTGTATCACTTCATGTTTAGTAGTGCACTCTAGTAATTTGGATTTTAATTATTCGTATATTTCTTATCTCTATTGCTTCCTCACTGTGCATATGGCTACGTCACTCTCACGTGACGACCAGCATGCCTTGATCTCGGTCGGGGTGTGTCAAATTAGTGCCTCACAATAGGTTAACAATAATATGATTCAATTTCTCTATTTTAAACACGTTCAAAACATCTTAAAAAACGTGTAATACCGTTTATAAAAAAGGTCTTTCGCGGATAATAATATGATTAAATTAATTGTCAAATGATTTTTTTTTAAACAAACAATATTATCTATACTAAGAGGGATAAGGGGTGGGTTTGCAATAATGTGATTTAATAAGTTGTTTATTAAATATTATTTTCTCTATTTTTAAACACGTTCAAAACATGTTAAGATGTGTGTAATGCC